ATAAAGTAAGGCTGCCTGCTGATTTTAATTGCTTTATCTGGCTCTTCTCCACCTCGTTGCAACCCTGATCTTAGATGCCTTTGGAAAGCATCGCTTAAGAGAGGAAATGGATTCTCTCTCTCTCTTTTTAAATGTGAGAAGCAAAAGCTTCATAGCTAAAAACGTTGTTCTAGATCCCATGGTAAGGCTGTTGGCTGTTGTTGCTGCGAGGTTCAGGCAGCTTTCAGAGAGACACTGAAAGTTGATGGATTTCAACAGAGGACTGTTTGCTCGGTTGCCTGTGACGCACTTTTTACTGCTGAGGGAGGGGGGGGGTTGTCTTGCAATGCAAACAGTCTGTTAGCTTTGGGCACAGAGTGGAGGCAGGAAGTATCTTGTTTTCCCTCAGGTTTGGCGCCAGCCTGTGCCATCTCCAAAGCTGGGTTCTTCCTTGTTGGCCTTGCTGAGGAGAAGGAAGGGGGGGGGGAGCGCACAGCGGGTGCCAGTGAGAGTTGAGAAGGGTGATCCAATGACCCCACTGTGCTGGGTGGGGTCAGCGATGGAGGGAGATCTGTGGACATCAGGGGACAGTCTGTGTCTTGGACAACCAGCAGAAATGGACCCAGGTGTGGAAGAAAAGGCAGAGGGAACCCAAGATGAAGCCACGGGATTTTGTGGTGGAATTGAGAAAGACAAATTGCCTGGCTTGTGGCTGCTCCCCTGGGCCTTCTGGAAATGTTTCCGGGAGGCAGAGACTAGTGGAAGGGCCTCACCCTAGAGGCACTCTCTCCTCTGGTATCCCCGTGGCACTCCTGTGTGGGTGGCCGTGGTCGCTGCAGAGCCCTGGCCAAGCAGCCCTGACACTCGCTGCCCTTCCCGCACACCAGGCCGGAGCCAGACCAAGGATCTGTGCAGAGGCCGCAGAAACCCGCGCCTGCCGTGGGGGGAGGGGCTCCCAGGCGCTGCCAGGGCAAATTGCCGTCTCCTGGAGAGGGCTGAGGTGGGGGCGGGGGGGGCATGAGCACATGGAAGCTGAAGAGGCACGTAGCAGTACCATAAGCTGAGCATGAAGGCCTATGTGGAGACGTGTGTGTGTCACCCCTACAAGGCAAAGTCCACCTGTGGGAGGCAAAAGGATGCGGGGGGGGGAACACATGATCTAAGCCAGTGGTGGCAAACCTATGGCACGGGTGCCAGAGGTGGCACTCAGAGCCCTCTCTGTGGGCACGCGTGCCATCACCCCAGCCAGGCCCAGACCATCATTAAAGTGTCGAATTCTCTGCCAAATAATTTTAAGTCAATGAAAGCATTTGGGATTGCTTTCCTTACTTTGTTTGGATCATCTTAAGTCAATGTATGGGTTGTTTTTTCTAAAGTAAAACCTCAGGATTCAGGTTAAATTGCCGTGTTGGCACTTTGCGATAAATAAGTGGGGTTTGGGTCGCAGTTTGGGCACGCGGTCTCTAAAAGGTTCGCCATCACTGCTCTAAGCCGTGGTGGAGTCTTGTGAGCAGAAACTCTACTTGGTGAGCTCCCGGCATTAAAGCGGTGAGCGAGCCATTTGGCTGTTGCATAAGTCAGTTTGCTCTGGAGCCCCATCCCTCCCTGAGCGAAGACAAAAATGTGTGAGCCGGAGTTCCCTCAGCTTAGAGGGAACACTGGACATGTCCTCTCTCACTTCCTGCGCCCCCCCCCATATGAGTGGCGATGGCCATCTATGTATTGCCTTTGCTAGGAAATTGGGGGGGGGGAGCTTAGTGTGCTGAGTCGCTTGCTGCCTTGGTGGAGAGGTGGGGCTGGGGGTGGCCTCCAGTGTTCCCTCTAAGCTGAGTTAGTGTGAGCTAGCTCACAGTTTTTTAGCCTCCGGCTCACACATTTTTGCCTTAGCTCAGGAAGGGATGGGGCTCCAGAAGAAAATAATCTATGCGGTAGCCAAATGGCTCGCTCACCACTTTAATGCCGGTAGCTCACACAGCAGAATTTTTGCTCACAAGACTCCACGGCTTAGAGGGAACATTGGTGGCCTCCTTAAGGTGGAGGCCGCCCCTGCGCCCTACTTGCGAGTCAGTGAGGATGCGTCATCTACTCATGTTACCCCCCCCCAAAAAAAGAAGAAGATGAGCAGTTGGTGTTCTGGAAAGGGCGATGCTGGTGTCGGTGCCGTCTCCGTTGCATTGAGTGTTTGCGGCCTGTAAACGGATCCAAACCCCTCCCCCTCTCTCCTGCAGCAATATCTGCACGTGGTCCAGGATAAAGGTGCACAATGTCCTCCTGCACATACAGTAAGTGCCCCCACCTCTTTGGTCTCCCCCTCCCCAGCTGCCGGCCGCCCTCATCCGGGTGGCTGCTTCCTGTTTCCCTGGCCTTGCCTCTGTTTGGCTGCTTCCCCTTTGCGGACCTCACTGCCAAGTGCCTCTTTCTCCCAGTGCCCGGCCCCCATCTCAGCGTGCTGCTGCCGCTGTTCAGCACCCCACCCCCTCCGGCAGCCGGCTTCTTCCTGCCCCTTCCCCATCTCCTCCTCACCCCCACCGGGCACTCTCTCCCTGTTCGCCCGTCTGGCTGTGCTGCTGCTGCGGCTGACCAGCGAGGCTCCCCTGGGAAACTCCTTGAGGGAGTTTCTGAGCCCGCAAGGCCAGTCCTGGTGCCGCTTCCTTCCGGGTCATATCCCTCGGTCTTCAGGGGGACAGGACGGCAGGGATTCTGCTCAGTGGGGTGGTGCTGGGGATGAAGGTCTCTGCCTGGGCCTATCCGCTCGAGGCTGGTTCACCACGGAGGGAAGCCCTGGAATCTGTACGTGCTCAGAGGCTCTCCAGAGCTCAGCCTTGACACTGAAAACGGGTGCCGGGGCTGAATGCAAACTAAGCACTGGCTGGAAGGAGGTGGCCTTTGGTTGGGTTGCCACCCTCTGGGGAATGGCTGCCAAGAGCGCTTCTTTTTCTCCTCCTCCTCCTCCTCCTAGGGGTACCCTGACGTGCTCCTACCTCTCTCACTCGGAGCAGCTGGCCTTCGAGAACTACCAGTATGTGGACTGCAGGGGCAACGCCACCCTCCCCGGGAGGTCCCGATCCCAGAGGTCTCTGTGGAGGTCCTGAGGCCCCAGAGGGGGGGCCCTGCCCTGCCGCTGGAGCATCTTTTCCCTCCCTCTTGGGAAGGGTGGAGTCTGAGCTGGGGAAGGTGGGCACAGGCGCAGCCGGGACCCGGTCCTGCCACTTCTGCGGCAAGAGAAAGCGGGTCAGCGATGGAGGGAGATCTGTGGACATCAGGGGACAGTCTGTGTCTTGGACAACCAGCAGAAATGGACCCAGGTGTGGAAGAAAAGGCAGAGGGAACCCAAGATGAAGCCACGGGATTTTGTGGTGGAATTGAGAAAGACAAATTGCCTGGCTTGTGGCTGCTCCCCTGGGCCTTCTGGAAATGTTTCTGGGAGGCAGAGACTAGTGAAAGGGCCTCACCCGCCTGGGTCTGGCTTTGGAGGGCCAGCGAGAGGGACCTTCGAAGGTTTCCTTGGACTTTGCACTCCCTTATTTGCTGGAGCCAAGCCCTGCTTCTCACAAGACTTCCCTCTTCTTCTCCGCCCCCGCCTCTCCTCGGCCACCAGATCAGTGCAGCCGTCTTTGAAGACTGTCCTCGCCCTGAAGATGCTCAGAAAGCCGCAGATACCTCCATGGTCTCATTTGCACATTCAGGGAGAGAAGGACAGAAGTCCAGGGACACTCATTTTCTCTTGGGTGGTTCTAAAAGAAAACCTTTTCCCAAATAAAGACTCTCCTGTATCACGATCAGAGGTGGTTGGATTCCTGCAGGGAGGGGGGGGCAAAGCCTACCCTATGGGCGAGTGGGCTGCTGGGAGGGGGAGGGGGCCCATGCATCGTGTCCCCTGGTGCCCCAAGGCAGCTAGGGCTTGGGACAGCTTTCCAGGGAAGAAGAAGAGGAGGAGGAGATTGGATTTATACCCCGCCCTTCACTACCCAAAGGAGTCTCAGAGCAGCTGACAAACTACTTTCCCTTCCCCTCCCCACAACAGACACCCTGGGAGGTGGGTGGGGCTGAGAGAACTCTGACACAAACTGCTCTTTTTCAAAGACAGCTGTGCCAGAGCTTGTGACTGACCCAAGGTCACACCAGCAGGTGCAAGTGGAGGAGTGGGGAATCAAACCCGGTTCTCCCAGATTAGAGTCCGCGCACTTAACCACTACACCAAACTGGAGGAGGGATGAGGATCGAGCCCCGCAGGGCAAACAACGCTGGCTTGCAAGCAAGACAGTAGTTTCTCTTGGACAGGGCCAGGCTGCTTCCTCCGCGAGCCTGGAGCCCTGCGGCATCAGGGGCATGCTCCTCCCAAGAGGCGGGGCAGGGGGATGCCTTCAAGGACCTGGGGAGCGTCTGAATCAGAGGGGGTGCCTGGCAGTGGCCGCGACCAGGGGTCATTTGGGGCTGGAACAAGCTGGAGCGGTGTTCCGGCAGCCCAGGAGCAGGCACAAATGGCGGTGGCGGCAAGCCCCGCCCCCAGCGGGCTTGCGGAGGAAGCAGAAAGGGGTTTACAGTTCAAACTCCTCCTCTCGAGTCGCGCCGCAGCAGCGGCACAATCTCCTATCGTATCCTGTGGCCCCATAGAAGACAATGGGAAGATTGTGCAGCTGCCGCAGCGCGACTCCAGAGAGAAGGGGTTTAAACTTTGAAACCCCTTTTCTCTTTGCTTCCCCCCACCCCACCCCGCTTTGGCAGGCCGGCTGGGGAAGGGAAGGGGAAGCTTTTGAAGATGCCTCCCCCCCCCTTTTTTTGCTTCCCCTTCTGACACACTCGGTGATGTCAGGGGGTGTGGCATATGCTAATGAGTTATGCCAATGAGCCCCTGCACCTCTTTTTCTACGAAATGACCCCTGGCCACGACGCAGCTGTGTCCGGGCTCACAGGGAGGCGTGTGTTGCTGGGAAGCTTTTATTGGACAGGAGGAAAGGCCGGGTGCAGCTCTTCTGCCTCTCTCGCTTCCTGAGTGACGCATTGGCCCTTCGGGTCAGACTTGCCTGTCCGGACCGCCTCTGGTGGCTGCTACCACTGCTGGATGTACTCTGTGGTCTAAAACAGAAGAGAAAAGCAAGAGGTTGCTGGCCATCCAGCCTCATCCACACGGCCCCGTGGCCAGCTCCAGGTTTCTGGAGCTCTGGGCAAAGAGTTCCCAGGGGGACCCTTCCCACTTGCTCACCCCACCCCACCCCCGTCTCCCTGCCCTGCTCACAAGCCCTCCCATGGTCCGCCTCTCAGCCACCGGCCCTTTCCCTGATGGCACAGCTGCACGCCCGGGTGGCGAGCCACTCACAAACAGTGTTCCCTCTGAGCTGAGTTAGTGTGAGCTAGCTCACAGCTTTTTAGCCTCCAGCTCACACATTTTTGTCTTCGCTCAGGAAGGAGGGCTCCAGAGCAAACTAATTTATGCAGAAGCCAAATTGCTTGCTCACAACTTTAATGCCAGTAGCTCACAAAGCAGAATTTTTGCTCACAAGACTGCGCGGCTTAGAGGGAACATTGCTCACAAAGGGAGTGGGCCGGGAGAGGGCATGTGGAGGTGGGGGCTGCAGCAGCAGGCCCCCCCCAAGCGCTTGGCCCTGGCCGCTGCCCCACCTGAGGCTACGCTGACGCCGGCCCTGCTTGCAGAAGTGCGCGGCTTCTCGGCCACAGGCTGCCAGCACGGAGGAGGCGGAGCTGCATACTTGCAGCTGGCCGTGCTAGAACAGGACATCCTGCTCCCGTTACAGCCAGGAAGAAGAGTGTATTGTTCTCCCCCACGCACCCACGCACTTACCGAGTATCTTTTCAGCAGCTTGCCACTGTGCTGCGGGGCATGGGCCGTCCTGCAGGTACAAGAGCTCTTCTCAGCAGCATCTGCAAAGGGGCGGTCAGAAGAAAGGCTTCTGCTTGCCAGAGTTCCCCTGAAGCCGGACACACGGAGGCGGTGCAAGGGGGCCGCTCCCTCCCCACCCTAGAGAGGGGCCTGGCAGAGACTTCCCGTGGGGCGGACATGGTTGCAGGGAGTTGCAGTTCCAGCCCAACCCCTTTTAGTCCCTTGTACTCAGGGGGCCCCAGTAAGGGGGGGGGGGGGGGCTTCCTCCAGAAGCGTACCTGGACTCTGCAAAGGCATTGGAAGACCTGCAGCTATGAACATGGGGGGGGGCTGGAGGGCTGGTGTGGAGGGGAGCCCTCCTTCCTGAGCTAAGACAAAAATGTGTGAGCCGGAGGAGAAAAAACTGCGAGCTAACTCATACTAACTCAGCTTAGAGGGAACACTGATTGTGACCCCTTGCTGGAAGACAGAAATCGGGCGGATTAAGGCTCCCTGGTGCCCGAAACACTGACCAATCTTGGTGTCATAGCCTATGGCGCCTCTCATAACCGAGGGGAAGCTTGCTGCAAGCAGACCTGGGTGGGGGGAGCACTGCGACCAATGTTCCCTCTAAGCTGTGGAGTCTTGTGAGCAAAGATTCTACTTTGTGAGCCGCTGGCATTAAAGTTGTGAGCGAGCGATTTGGCTGCTGCATAAATCAGTTTGCTTTGGAGCCCTCCTTCCTGAGCTAAGACAAAAATGTGTGAGCCGGAGGAGAAAAAACTGCGAGCTAACTCATACTAACTCAGCTTAGAGGGAACACTGATTGTGACCCCTTGCTGGAAGACAGAAATCGGGCGGATTAAGGCTCCCTGGTGCCCGAAACACTGACCAGTCTTGGTGTCATAGCCTATGGCGCTGCACCTCGCCAACAAAAAATAGAAGAAAACCCTCGGGTGCACCATGATCGATGTGCTCTAGTGTTATCAATTCTTTTTTTTCCAAACCTTCATTTGTTCTTTTTTTTCCTTTTCACCCTTTTCCCAACTTTGTGGTGCCCTAAGCACGTGCTTCGTCTGCTTCATGGTTAATCTGCCCCTGACAAATGCACAGTCATTGGAGCTGATTTTTTTAGGGGCCTTAGCCCCTAAGATGGGTAGCCCCTAGGGGCAGCACCTGCCTCCCCGCTGATTCTGCCATGGGCCCAGGGGGTGATGGGTGGGTCTTCCTTGGGGGGGGGGATGATGAAATACTTTGAACTGGCCCGTAAAAAAAAACTAGCAGTTCGAAAGCAAGACATTGCAAGTAGATAAATAGGTAGCACTTCGGTGGGAAGGGAACAGCGTTCCGTGCGACTTGGTGTTTAGTCATGCCGGTCACATGACCACGGGAACGTCTTCGGACAGCGCTGGCTCTTCAGCTTGGAAACGGAGATGAGCACCGCAATCCTAGAGTCGGCCTCGACTGGCTTTCGAGCAAGGGAACATTTAAGGTAAAGAAAGCCGTAAAGAACCTTTACCTTTACCTTTACAAGTCACTGAGGACCAGAAACAAGATTTAAAGACAGCCTGAGTGTGGTATGACTTCTTAGAGAAAGACTGCCTGCGTGTGGTATTATTTTATTTTATTATTTTCTTAAATCGCCTTAGCTCTGGGCGATGTACAAGTTTTAAAACAATAAAACCATACAGTCATTATCAAAAATCTGTAATATAAAAAGCAAGAGGCGAAACTTTGTGAATCCCTCCCACTCTCTGGTCTGTGTTGCCTAATGGGTGTGTGTGTGGGGAAGTAGAGGCGCTACCTCCTTCGGGGGACAGAGAGAAGAGAAGCGATTGGATGTATACCCCGCCCTTCACTTGGAGTCTCAGAGCGGCTGACAAACTCCTTTCCCTTCCCCTCCCCACAACAGACAGACACCCTGTAAGGTGGGTGGGGGCTGAGAGCGCTCTCTCAAGGACTGCTTGTGAGAGAACAGCTCTGAGAGAACTTGTGAGTGACCCAAGGTCACACCAGCAGGTGCAAGATCCAGGAAGGGTGTCAGCCAGGATGCACCCCGTCCCTGTCCTCAACCGGAAGCCTGGCAGAACATCTCTGCCTTGCAAGCCCCGCGGCATAAGATCCCGCAGGGCCCACCAGCGTGGGGCCAGGCCTGAGAAGGCCCTGGCCCTGGTCAAAGACAGCTGGATATCTCTAGGGTCGGGAACCGCCAGCAACTTGTTCTGTGAAGAGCAGAGTGCTCTCCTCGTGGGTATACCGGAGAAAGCGGTCCTGTAGATACATTGGTCCCAGACCACCTCGGTTGAGGTGAAGTGGGCGTTCCTTGGGCCGGGGGTCACCAGGAGGTGCTGATCAGAAGACCATAAAGCTCTCTGGGGCGCATAGAGAGCTTTGCAAAAGAGACAGTCTAGCCCAGCGCGAAACTCTTGTTTTCGTGAAGCCAAGACAGTCCGGTAACTGTATTTTCAGGCAGATCTTCGTTTCTGAGGAGTTCTTTTCCCAGGCTCAGCCAGTCCTTTGCCAAAATATTTGAGATGCAAACGGGGCATGACTGTGGTTTCACGCACCCTCACGTGACAATCCTTGACGTCCGGTTGCCCGTCTCTGAGACTAGACATTCTACACCTGATTCTCAAGTGTCTCCCAGGCATTAATATTTCACACACCACAAGGTCATGTGGAAATGCTGGGGGTGGCGGAGAGGAGTGATCCATAGTCCCTTCCTGACAGGAGGTCAGAGGTGCTTCTGGGGTGGGAGGGTGCCATTTTTGGTAGGTGAGACCAACAAGAGGTGAATGGCATTCTGGGCTGAGAAATGATTAACTAACTTACAATGTAATAATGGACTGCAAGAAGATCAAATCAGTCAATCCTAAAAGAAATCAACCCTGACTGTTCCCTGGAAGGCCAGATAATGAAACTGAAGCTCCAATACTTTGGCCACCAAA